TTATAGGCATGGGAAGGTTTTCTAGAAAATTCAGATTACATAACAATACTGAGCTATATTTGAACATTTATGTATATAGATATGTTGCTGATTCCTACTCTTGAGAATCTTCTACATCTTTGGAGAATAGGTGGGAGTTTTGCAATACATATCTAACACTACAAGGTATGCATGTTTTTAAAAATAAACTTAATCTAAACAACGTTCATATTAAAATAAATACATAACAACAAATTCATTACAGATGTTAAAACCAGAAGGAGTCTTGGATTAAATTCATTTCCAGTTCAAATGGAAGTAAAACAATAAAATTTAAATACAAATAGATGTATACAGTTACGAGTTTAAAGCTACTTAGGATAAACAAATATAGTTTCATGTTACAACTTAAAGTCATTCTAGAAATAAAAAATGGGAAATTTAGATTTATTTTGACTTTTGTTTGGTGGTTACAAGGTGGGTCAAATTGACCAACCTTGTATTAGGGTAGAGAAAATAACATACTAAAAAAATTTTAACTTTAAAAAACATTTGAAATGTACTTAGGAGGTTTTAGAGATTATGCAAATGACATTTGAGATTTTTGCTGAGAAGAAAAGTATTTTTAATCTTAACATGAAAGTCATTTTGCACTGAGACTGGTCAAAAAAGTCTCAATATATTCAAGGACAAATCTTTAAAAAACTGTTTTTTTTTGTACAAACGACTTGTAATGTTTTCTAAAAGTCTGCCAAACTTTGTGGAGATACACATACTATATTAAAAGTTATAATACTAAAACTATATATAAGTAAAAATGGTCATGTGGTCAGTCCATGTGACTGAGCCTGTATTGAGAGAGTTTGTAATGGGCTCAATGCTAAACGTGCAGTGCATGTACTGTACATACATAGTCTAGTCTAGTTGGCTAGGCTGCGGGTGCCGACTGGGCATTTCAGTTGGTTGTATAATTCTTCTCTGTTTCATTATATGACTTAAATATTGCTTGAAATCACTCCATTTAAGGTTTTATTCATAGTAGTTGTCAGCATGATTCCTGATTTTAGCGTGTCATGAATATTTATCAAGTTATTACAATATTTATTTGAAAACAGAATATTGAAAGGTAAATTTTACTATTTTATTGTGAGTGCAAGGTAGCATAATGTCCAATACCTTTGGGGGCATACTCCAGACCTTCAGAAATGTGGAGGATTGGGGGATATATGTGATTGAACCAAAGTTTTTTTAATTGAATCCCCAGTTGATTTACTGTCATCATGTACTTCTGCATAATGGTTCCTCTACCATGGTAAATAAAAACAACACACCCATCTCACTAAATGTAACACTGACATTAAACATAGAATGCGTAAGATACTTTTTTCTTAAATATACATTGATGTCCCACTCAGACAGAACTGGCTTTAAACTCGAACAAGACATTGTGTTGATGATAATACTGGGTAAATTAGAATTAACTCTACATATTTCAATTGCAAGGCTAGAAATTTAATGAAATTTAAGATGGGGGATGACTGGCATAAGAATGTTCCCGTCAGCTGTACTGTAAAATCTTCAAATCCTGACCAAATCCTTCAGCTCATATTGTACATGTGTGTGCAGCTATTCTGCAATCCAGTGTGATAGTTGGGATATTTTGGATAATTATGAAGCATTTTGATCCAGAGAGATTATGAATGACTAAACAAGGTTTTTTTGCAATGAAAGATGCTATTGCTTAATTGATGCTGAAGTCCCCTGAAGAGCTGCTGTAATGATAGTTTTGTTTTATAATGATTATGGATAATTTAGAAAGGCCATAGAATGAATGGCTTAATATCCCAGACATTGATGAAGTCTTCTTAGATCTCATTTGTCAGAAATAGGTTCAACATTTTAGGACATTAATTAAGTCTTTATTGGATGGGGAAAGATTAACTGAGCAACAGCTTTGGGCATGGGAGCATTTAGTTTGCTAAAGAAAATTATATTTAAGAAAGCATGAATATACAATTTTTTTTCTAAGTATTCTGTATTCAAGAATGTATAGCAGTATATAATAAATGACTTCTCAGAGTGTAGAGTTGTGGTTGTCTAATTTAATAAATTTTCATTATTTTAAATCAACATCAACTGAAGTAATATAATGAGTGAGACAATACTATTGCTAGAACAAGTGAAGTATAAATAATACATTCTCTTTAGAGAAGGGAACAGAAGGATATAATTATGCTTTTAACAAATGAGCTTTCTCTCCATTATTCAACATATCAGGTAGGATTGAAATACAAGCTTAGCTCGCTAAATAGTATATTGACATACAACTAAATGGGCTCTAATCAACAAAGTTCTTACAGTAATTTCCAACTGTTTTTTACTTTGAACAAATATGAAAGCAATTTCAGAGCAGCAGTCAGTTATGTACAGTGATTGTATGTACCTGTTACCTTTATTGCCATAATAATGTGAAATAGTTAATTGATATGCTATGGTAAATTTCACTCTGGGTAATTGAGCACTTTGGGAATCAATTTATGATTTCCAAACAAGATTTATTTATGCTACCTATTACATTGATCTTTGCATGAACACTACTTTTAAAATGTATTGTTATCACAATGGGCAATATAAGACATAAATCACTTATAATAAACCTACTATAAAATATTATTACAATCAAATTCCATAAGCCTTTAAGTCCTGTCACTTCATTATGTTGCAAATGATATTTGTTTTAATTTTTTCATTTATTTTCAACTGTAAGGATTAATCTTTTAACCTTTAACAGTATAACTAATAAGCTTTTATTTATATAGACATTAAACTTTTTAATATACTCCATAGTTTTACATAAATTGTTTATTTCTATCAAATTTTGTTCAGTAAAATAAATTTGATTTATTTAAATTTGATTAGAATGTTAGTTTACAATAACTTAGATTAAGAATTCATTAACATTATTTTCAGTGTCTCACCAGAAGGAAGATGGAGCTGTAGACTTTTCATGGAAAAGAGGGAGGTTGTTTGATCACACAGCTTGTCTAGTTTTGTACCAGATATGTCTTGAGGTAATGTCACTATGTTTCGAATGTAGTTCTTAATAACTCTTTACTACACCATTAAATACTGACATGTTAAACCCATCCGTACTAAGGTTTCCCATGTGACAAAAGTAAAATTGTGTAACTGACAGTTACACTAAACCCATTTTTTATGTGTTGAAAATGTGTTATTTACAAAAACAATAAAAAGTATTTTATTGAAAATGTACTAAATTCTTTACTTACAATAGCAGTAAAAATAATCAAATTTGTGAATTTGCAAGAGGTTTGTATTAAGACAAACAGATTAATAAATCAAGTTAAAAAACCTGATGAAACCCTAGCACTTTTAACAAGCGGACCTATATTGTTAAGAAAAAAGAAAGAATGGCAGAATAGGGTGTAGAGAATGGACATAAGTTGAAGAACAGGAAATAAATCTAATTGGCCAAGTATGGCCCAAGGACATGTGTTACTTACATGTTGTGGATTTATTTGTGTGTCATGGAGTGTAAAGATCAATTTCAAAGTTGAAGGCAAGAAATTAGAAAAATACAGACCCACTTATCAATAATATTTAGTTGATTTGTTGATTATCATTATTTAATTTTCTGTTCAATATAAAGCAGGTGTAAATGTGAAAAACAGAGGGTTGAGTATGTTATATTAAGATAATTTTGAATATGCAAGTCAGCAAGTTATGTAACAACAACATCTGATATAATTGTGGTGGAATGGAATGTATCAGCACTACATTTTGACATTGTTTAGCATTTCACAGTGGTGTGATGTCATTGAAGATGCATTGTTTTTGGAAAAGCTATGTAACAGCCCTTTCTGAAACAATATTTTTATGCTCACATACCAAAGATGTGTTCAGGTTGAGAATTTTGAATTTCTAGTACTTAATGGCAATGGAAAACAAAGTAATGTGGATCAACTTGAGTTACTAAGACCATCCACAAACAGACCTTCAACAAGTCATACCCCAGTTTTGGTAAACACATTCCTGTTTCTTGTGACATGTTTGAATCCACAAATGCAATAGTCAGTGACAAAATCTGTCCACATACATTTCAGGAAAAGTATGTAACAAATTCATAAAGTGTAAAAACTACTAACCAGAGTATTATCAATGTAAATAGTTGATCTGTAAAAGCAGGGCAGTGTTTTACAGAAATACTCAAAAATATCTGAATAGATATGCCTACACTATAGTACAAATTTTTACAAGCAATTACAGCAATCCCCTAAATTCAGTTGTAACTAAAATTTCAAATTAGGAATATGTGGTTAAATATTTTAGTTATTGTTTGGCAGTTTTCTGTAAAATCATTGATATTCAAAAAATAAAACAAAGAAACTAAAGGAAAGAATGATTCAAATTTTTTTCATACACTGGCATTTGTTTTTGCCATTATACTTGACATTTATCATAAAATTCCATGGCTTTCCTGCTGCATTTGCAATATTTTAAATTGTGAGTAAGGAGATTTTACAATGGAATTTGTAAGCTTTTCTCTTTAGTGAGTGATCTTTATGTAAGTACACACACACACACATGATCATTTAATATGTAGGTAAACAAAAGAGCTATGCTTTTGTTATCTACTATAACTTAATTAAAATTTCATTTTGTGCTATGAGATGCACTAGAAGAGTTTGTTCACTAATTAAGATAAAGTTAAAATTGAAACAATGTGAGGATATGTATGAAGAATATAAAACTGTTTTGCTTAAATTAATTTCAAAGGTTGTTGTACTCTGTGATCTTGTATGGAAATTTAGCCTCTGAATCACCTGTTACATTTATATTCATTCTGTATGCTAGAACAGCAGTACTTTACTAAAGCCACATATCAACTATTATAGAGGAAATTTACTAAATATTTGAGAATGTGAAATGTTTATTTTGCAAGCTAATTTTTAATTCTCTGGTTTCTTCCTTTTGTTATTTTACTATTTTCTAATTAAGCTTTCAACTACATGTTGTATCATAAAGGCTGCTTAGAAAATAATAAAATAACAGAAGGCTGAAACATGGAGCCAAATGTTTACTTACAATATATGTAGGTACTTTGTAGGAGTGAATTGTGTGATGAGTTTGGAACCTCTTGTTAGCCATTTTTAAGCATCAGACTTAATATATATAAACTGTTGGGAAAAGGAAGGTTGTCAAAGAAGGTGGATATGTAGGAACATTTGTTACATTGAAACTGGTTCAACTAGTTTTTCTTATGATTTGTGTAAAAGTCATTTTGAAATCAGAATGTTGTTTATTTTATTTTTTTTCATGGATAAGCAAATGAAAATAATTTCATATAAGTTTGTAACTTCTTATGCTGGTGAATTAAACATTATATTAAATCACAATAACTGTATTTGGTTCAAGTTGTACATAATAAAAAAACTTAAAATTACTTGCACTGATAGGACTGTTCATAAGTTGCAGCATTTTGTGATAAACACACACACACACACACACACACACACACACCACACTGATATATTTCAATGTTTTTGTTGCTCAGTAACCAAACGAGTGCATTTTGATTGCATCAGGGAAATTTGTGACAGAAATTCCCATACAGTATATCATTAGTACCAACTTTTCCAAATGATTGAGGGTGCTGATTGTACTTTCTGTACTTATTCAGGGTGCTCAGCAGCACTTGCATCATAATATTTAGAGGTGCTCAAGCAACCATAGCAACTATGGATCATGGATCTGATGCCTATACAGTACATTATTGTGTGAAATTTTGGAGAAAACAAGAAGAAATTTGGACATTATACACATTACAGGATATTTATACGTGTCAGTTACAGGTCTAAAAGTCAAGTATAATATTTAATGCTTTCTTGCAGGTATTATGGTATATTTCAAAAACTTTTACACGATCAGACGAACTTATGTAGACTTAACTTTATTTAATAGAATACACATAAAGTAAACAATAAATTAAATTAATTATAATAGAGTACAGAGTATGAAACATGTATGAGCATTCACTGAATGACATGGTTTTACAAGTTGAAACAAAGAATCTCACAAAATGAAGAATAAAACCTGTAGTAAAGAAAAAGTAGCTAATAGGTGTTTATAGCAGTCTCTGAAATGAACCAAAGAATCTCACAAAATGAAGAATAAAACCTGTAGTAAAGAAAAAGTAGCTAATAGGTGTTTATAGCAGTCTCTGAAATGAACCAAAGCTAAATTATTGCAAAGGAAAGTAATTGTAAGAGTTGTAAAGAAGGCAAACTTAGCTGAATATGCAGAAATATCTGAATGTATGTTCACAAAGTGATAAGCATATGATTTTGAACGAAATGTACATGGGTATTTTAAATAAGTTGAGAAATTCCATAGCAATTGTATTTAGTGTAATTTTCGCTTTGGTTTTAGGGAATTATACGTGGGTTGAGTTTTGTTTGTGTGAAATACTTTACAAATAAAAAAACTTAAGTTGAAGTCAAAGCCAGTTATCATGTGATGACAATGACATTGTCCCATCATGTACCATACTCGTTGAATTAAGAAGTTTGACTAAGCAAAAACAGTAAGGTGATTCTGAATTAAAAAGCCAATATACAATCCAGACAAAGGCCTTTCTAATGATATGAGACTTTAGGAGAAAAGTTCTGGACAGACAAATGCAAGCACATTATTTCTATAGATTTGACTAGCAGGTATGAAAAAGGACCAGCAAAAATGCAATAAATACACAAGTATGTCTTAATAAAGTTAGATTAGGGCTAAATTCTTGCATATCAATGATAAATTTACCATAATCTTTATATTTTAAAGAAATTAAGTTTATAATACTGAGTTTGTTTTGAACTGGTTACTAAAAGTTCTGAAGATTATAGACATCACATTTGGCATAAAATGAAGCATCTTCTCATACTATTTGGAGTGTCTTAGAATGAATTATAATATTCATGTAAATATTACGCTGACACAGCTGTTATGGTATGGAATCAAGAATGTCTTCACTATTTTATTATCAGGATCACATGCTTCATGATTAATGTTGTAAGATACCTGTTTAACTTGAGAATCATAAGATATCTAGCATTGCTCTCTGAAAACATTTTATAATAACATATACATTTGTTTGATGAAGTAATCATGTTTTCTGTTCATGAATGACTGATTAGTTTTGATCTACCATTTGTATTCATGTTGTCACTAAATTATTTATGCACTACAGTAAAATTAAGATTTCTGAATTTATTGTTCATGGAAGTGAGTATGAGAACTCAAGCCCTCCATTAGTTACTTATACAGCACAAGTTCAACCCAAGTGTATTGATGTATGGTGGGAAAAATAGTCAGAGATTTTGCTAACTAACAGTGTTTTAATGTACACAGGTAATATGTATTGCTGATGTCATTCAGCTCTAGTAATTATATTTCAGAAAAGTAAGCAACAAAATATATATAGATGGAAAATTTAAGTTAATACAAATATTTCATTAGAACACTAACTGACAATCAAAATTAAATCATTAAGCGAATTAACAGGCAGTAATTAACTGCTGGTTGTTGAATTTGGGTCTTGGTCTTAACAAAAAAGTAATTGTAATTGAAAATATAAGGCATTCTTGAAAGTGAGGAATGAAACTTAATGAACATATTTTGTGTTACAGTTTTATATTGTTTAGCTAAGCTAATAGTTTATTGCTTCATTTGGACAGAATCCGACTGCAACGGTTTTAGGGGTGAAAACTAAACCTAAAAGCAAGTGGCGACCTTTACCATTGGACACTACGGTAAGAATAGTATTGATATATCTTTGAAGGTTATGTTAGATAATCTTATTCCATAGTTTCTTCTTTTGACTTTAGACTTTGAAGATGTGGGAGATGATGAAATCTCTGTGGCTTCACTCTGAAAAAAAAATGTCCCTGTAAATTTCTTAGTGAAGAATGGTCAAGTGCAACATATATTTCAGCATAAGAAAATATAAAAAAACTTGTGTTTATTGCTACGTGTGCTCAAATGCGTACTGTGTTGTAATACAATACCATAGAAATAAATAATGAGCTGAAAAATATCACAGTATTTTATAGCTGTGCATAAATTGTTTCAGCTCATATTACTGTCATATTTCTGTTCAGTTATGGTGTCACTTACAATATACATTTGATTTAAGTATATGACTTTGAAACACTAACTTAAAAAATAATGTTTCTAAAGTATACACTAGTACATATCTCCTATCTTGTAACATTTTTGCTGTATGGTATACCTTTTCAACCGTAAATGAGATGGACTGAAATTACAGTTTTCAGTTCATCAAGGAATATTCGTTTTTTTTTAAAATGATTTACACTGTAAATGTTGACTGAAAAATAAGTTAAAAAGTATTAAGTTTTAAGTCAAGGCTCTTGTGTACTCTCAGAACTTGATAGTAGTTTTTGTTTTCTGTAAACTCTACAACCATATTTATAGATTGGAAGTTTTAACAAAATAGTGAGAGATAACTTACTGTTAATTGTTTGTTGTGTTCAAGTTTTAATATGAATGATATGTCACAATGTATAAATTACATATGTTTGCTTTATAGGAATTGGAGAAAACTGCATCCAGGAAACTAAAAATTACTGCCAAAGAAACTATGAGAATAGCAGAGAAACTGTACACAAAGGGCTTTATTAGTTACCCTAGAACAGAAACTAATAGTTTTCCCAAAGACCTGAACCTGAGAAGTTTAGTGGAAATGCAGACAGAAGATCCAAACTGGGGAGGTAGAGTGCCAAAATCATTGTAAACTTTTGTTTAGATTAAGACTGTGATCATATTTTGAAGTGCTATCATTCCAACTTCAGCACATTTTTAGGGATGGAATGAGTATTTATCCTGAAATAGCCAATGAATATCTTATTCAATATTAATAAGTTGTGCTGTTCATCTTTAGATAAAAATTTCCACCTTATTGAGTTGTTGTTCATGATTCAAGTTGAGAACTTGAATTGTTTTTCCTTTGTAAAAGATGAATTATTTTTTATAGAGAAACCAGAGATCTTCAGTAATTTGAGATAACTCTGATGTGGCATGTAAATAGCAGCCATCATTTATCAGCAAATCTGTTTTATTGTTTTATGTTTAATCTTGTGTCAACCATCAGCCATTCTGCTGTCTGTACTTTCAGTCAAAACATGTTAACTGTCAGCCAGTCAGTGTTACTATGTTCTGTGTATGTTCATATTATGAACTATCAGCCAGTCTGTTGTCTGTGTTCTCTCTAAAAATATGTCAACTGTCTTTAGTCTGTTCTTCTCTCTCCATAAGCATGGTGTCAGCTTTCAACCATTCTTTAGTCTGTTATTCGTTGTATAAGCATGGTATCAGCTTTCAACCATTCTTTAGTCTGTTATTCATTGTATAAGCATGGTATCAGCTTTCAACCATTCTTTAGTCTGTTATTCATTGTATAAGCTTGGTATCAGCTTTCAACCATTCTTTAGTCTGTTATTCATTGTATAAGCATGGTATCAGCTTTCAACCATTCTTTAGTCTGTTATTCATTGTACAAGCTTGGTATCAGCTTTCAACCATTCTTTAGACTTTTATTCTGTCTCCGTAAACATGGTATCAGCTTTAAGTCAATCTTTAGTCTGTTAGTCTCTCTGTAAGTATAGTATCAGCTTTCAGCCAGTCTTTAGTCTGTTATTCTCTCTATATATAAACATGGTATCAGCTTTCAGCCATTCTTTAGTCTGGTATTCTGTCTCTAATCATGCTATCATCTTTCAGCCAGTTTATAGCCTGTTATTCTGTTTATACATATGGTATCAGGTTTTAGCCAGCCTTTAGACTTTTATTCTCTCTCTATATATATATAAACATGGTATCAGCTTTCAGCCAGTCTTTAGTCTGTTATTCTCTCTCTATATAAACATGGTATCAGCTTTCAGCTAGTCTTTAGTCTGTTATTCTCTCTATATATAAACATGGTATTAGCTTTCAGCCAGTCTTTAGTCTGTTATTCTCTCTATATATAAACAAGGTATTAGCTTTTAGCCATTCTTTAGTCTGTTATTCTCTCTCTATATAAACAAGGTATTAGCTTTCAGCCATTATTTAGTCTGTTATTTTCTCTATATATAAACATGGTATCAGCTTTCAGCCAGTCTTTAGTCTGTTATTCTCTCTATATATAAACAAGGTATTAGCTTTCAGCCATTCTTTAGTCTGTTATTCTCTCTCTATATATATATATAAACATGGTATTAGCTTTCAGCGATTCTTTAGTCTGGAATTCTGTCTCTTAGCATGGTATTAGCTTTCAGCGATTCTTTAGTCTGGAATTCTGTCTCTTAGCATGGTATCAGCTTTCAGCCATTTTATAGCCTGTTATTCTGTTTATACATATGGTACAAGGTTTAGTCAGTCTTCAGTCTGTTATTCTGTGTAATAAAATTGTAATATCTCTGTAAAAAAAACATGTTGTTGTACCTGCATGTTTGGGATAACTATAAAATTTTTCGAACAAACATATCAAAACTACTTTCAAATTATTTAACAGATTGTTCAAACACTACCATATATCTCATACAGTTTAAAAAATTTAACTTTTAGTATGTTGGACAGAGCCAAATGACTCTGTCTTTCAACAACCATTAATATTTTATCAAAAGAAAAGTCTCTCCTGATACTCAGTGTTTCAAACAATCTGACCATTATTTTCTGTTAATGAGGATTAAACTTGATTCTGGAATCTGTGGTTTTTAATTCTTAAGTAACATTTTGTAGAAAAAAAAAATATGTATTTCACTCATACCTTATATATCAAGTCCATTCTGTTTTATTTCTGCCTGAAAGATATCATATATTTAATTTATCTTGTTTTTCATGTTGGTATTATTTTAATTTGAACCTGTAATTTGTATTGTTAATATTTCAAGTTTTATTTGAATTGACTATACTTGTGTATTCTTTATTCATTTTATTTCCTGTCACACAGTTTTAACCAGTTTTAGCTTCTAGCTTATTTTTATATTTTCTTAAATCATTTCTATAATTTTTTTTCATCCTCTGTTGCTAGTTCTTTTGTTCTTTACTATCCCCTTTCTGCCTATTCTCATCTCCTATATACATCGAAAATAATTTCTTGATAATTCTGAATCAGCTCTTTAGATGGAAGTCTGGTTTATTGGGTACCATGTTTTTCTTTTTCTTTTAAATACCTTAGTATCAGATATTAGCCAGTCTGTTGGTTGTTAACCTTTCTTTAAAGTATAGTATCAACAATTGTTCACTATGTTGCTTACTGTCGTTCATTTATAATCTAATTAGGAGTTTTGTCTTTTTTTTATGTATATAGTATCAGATGATGAGTATTCTGTTGTCTATTATCTTCTCCTGAAGCATGGTATCAGTTTTTTACCAATTAGTGGATGATATTTCAGATCAATTAGCTTGTTGCATGTTATATTTTATTTAATTTTTGTGTGTTAAAAGACTAATGCATGAAACTATCTCACATTATATGCTTCATTATTAATACAGCTGTATGTTAGTTTTTTAATGTTCATATATTCTTTGTTTCATCATGGTTTCTAACAATCAAAAATATGGATTATGTTTAATTTCTGGTTGAATTTTTTTTTCTTTTGCTAGGATTTGCTGCTGGTATTCTTCAACAAGGTCCCAACCCACGACAGGGATCAAAGAGTGACAATGCTCATCCTCCAATTCATCCAACTAAATACACTAACAGTTTGGAGGTTAGTGTTTTGAAATTTGAAGATAAGCTCTGTTTGCTGGAATGTTCTGTATTTATGTCCCTTGGTGTAAGAAACTAAAAACTTAGTTTACCACCTTCTTAGTCCTTACTGTACATTTTTTTATAGTGATCTTAACCTGCTTTTGACCTTTTGAAACACATCCAACAGGAAACTTAGACAAAATGTGACATACACACCATTTCATTTGTTGGCCATGATTTATTTTCCAGTATTAGTTTCCGTATAATGTATATTTAAAGATTATCAAGATGCACATTACAAATGTAAACCTTAGAGCAAAAAAGGAATAATTTAAGTATTTAAGGTTGTGACAATCAAACATTAATCACTGTAATGGATGAAAACATAACCTCCGTTCACATTCAGTAGCAGAGGTAGAAACAATATAGAAACATAGAGTGTAGTTAGAAGTTAGTAAAACTTCCAGATATGTATGTAGGATCATCTTCATCTACCAATAAGATCTGACTGAGACATTGAGGATAATTGCTTGCATTATTGTATGAAGCCTGCACATTAGACTTCATATATTAAAGAAGATCAACAATTAAGTTTATTGTGATAATTGCAGCATGAAATTCCTGGACTATATCAAATACTGAATATATGAATAGGAGCACATTTTCATGATCTGTGGAACATCTTATGACAATAACAACTTTTGTAGGCTTACAAAATTTTTTTTTCCTATACTATGGGTCTTATTCATTCAGATTGTCATAATTAAGATAAGACAGTTGGGAGCTATTGTGTTCCTCTATGTGCCATAAGGCTTAGTGTAGGAAATTTAAAGATGTGTTCAAATCTGTGTTTTATAGATTTAGTATAGTAATTATAAAGATTTGTGTACTTATCTGTGCTATAAAATCTCAGTATAGTAAGTTTAAAGATTTGTGTACTCATCTGTTCTATAAAACCTCAGTATAAGTATGAATAAAGATTTGGATTGTTATCTGTACCTTATGGGATTAGTATTGTAAGTTCTTATCTCTGCATTATAAGTTCAGTGTAATGGGTCTAAAGGCTCTTAACATTCTTATCTGTGTCTTAGGGTTGTTCATAATAGTAATTTTAAAGTTTTTTGTTATTATCTGTGCCTTATTGGTTTGGTATAGGAAGTGTGAACACAGTGCAAGTTTTAGGATAAATGAGTTTTTAAACATAGGAAATTTTTCTCTCACATTTTTTCAAAGTAATGATTAGAAGAAAGTTTGCAATCATTAACACATAATTATAAACTGAGTTGCCTTTCATTGACATGGATGCAATGTTTTGTCTCGGCGTTTAACATTTTCTAACAAAACTATAATAGTTTATTGATGGGTACCTCAAATGAAATCAAGATACAAAATAAGCTACAACTCAAAGTTTGGTTTACAATTTTTGCAATTAAAATGTCCAAGAATGGAAACAAAGCATGCAAACAACAGATTCTGTCAAAATCCTTAACTGACCTGATTGCAGTACATGTATTTATCTCACGTAGGAATAGCATTCAGTAACTCATGATATTTAATGGTAGAATACAATGTAGCTTATGATATTTAATGGTGGATGTATCTTTATTGAATTTATTGCACATAAATGAGTTTTTACTTATTAAGTTCTGAATCGAAGACACTTATGAAGTAAGCATTATGAAATATTTTAAAGAATATCTCTAGCATAAGGTTTTCTAAAGTGTGAGTATGGTAAACATTTCAGTCAGCTGAAGTTTTGGACAAGATCAGAATAAATTATTAACCAATATAGATTAAGATTTCAATATTTTCTCTTGAATTATAGTATAAGCTCATTAAAACTGTTTCTTAAAAAGGGAAATGATCGCCGAATCTACGAGTTCATTGTCCGTCATTTCCTGGCAGTTTTGTCACAGGATGCTCAGGGTTTGGAGACTACAGTGGATATTGAGATTGCTGGAGAGAAGGTTTTTTTTTACTTTCTATATAATAATGAGAAGTAAAATACTCCATATGTGAAACTGTTGTATATATTTGTGTAAATTTCATCAAAATCAAACATGTTTGAAAAAGTATTTAACAATTTTCTTACTTTTTATTATTTGAAACTTGTTAAAAATTAGTATTCTTCATAAAAGAAAGATAAATTATGACAAATTTAAAATGAATTCAACTGTTTTGTTGCAATATCCAAGCAAAAGACTTGATCATAAAAATAATCAAAGTTTTTAAAATTTAATAAGTATGAGATATTAATTAAATAATTTTACTTGATGAAAATAATTTTAAAATCCCTATGGGTGTTAGAAGAATTAGTATGGAAGTTTTTTGCACATTCTAAGAAAAAATAAGGCAAATCATGAATGAAATAAACATAACACATTCTAAAGAAATAATGAAATTGATGGATGAGGTAAAGGTAACTCAACTTAAAGAAACAATAAAAGCAATGAATGAGCTCAATATAACTCCTAAAATATAAAAATAATGAAAGCTCTGGAAGAAGTAAATGTAACTCATCTTGAAGAAATGACAAAAATGATGGATGAAGTGGAAATAATTCATCCTAAATAGAACAGTGTAGAATATATACAAAACTTAGAATTTACTTGATGCTATTTTTCTAAACCATTTTTGACTATTTGCAACATCTTTTTTATATTCTGTAATCTTGTTAAGCCTAACCAATCAAATGCCAGTGTATCCATCTGCTATGTTTTAGTATTATCTAGGTCAGGAGTTCACTCTTTGTAGTAGTTGTACCTGATGATGCAAGGTTAACCTGTAAAATGTTGGTACCATGGATATTAAATCCTATATCCAACAATAAAGAAGTTTTAAATTTCTCTACATTATTTCATCACTTGTTCAAATATAAATCAAAATAACCTTGAAGTTTAATTGCACTTTTTAGATAATATTTGTAATGCCAAGTTTTGACTTAGCTTTAGACAGTTTGAAACATTTAAGTTTTTAACTGTTATAAATCTACTAAATTAACTTGCTTAATTTTAATTTTACATTTGATTGTAAACTATCAAGTAGGGCTTTGTGACTTATCATTTAAAAATTACATCATGAGAGATAACGTTTTTTTTTAATTTCAATTTAATACAGAATTTTTTGTTCTTAGTACAGCTATTAGAATAGTAATAAAAACAGCTGAGTAACATCATCATTACATGAGTTTAGGGAAAATATATTAAACAGGAGATATTTATTAATCTGTATGTTTCTTAAAAATATATATCTTATGAAAAATTATTTACTGTTGTTTCTCTCCAGTTTAGTACAAGTGGTCTTATCATCACTGCCAAAAATTACTTAGAAGTCTATCCATATGACAAATGGAACACAAAGGTAGGCTTAATATCAGTGATAATAAGGAACACTGCTAGATGTTTAAATGAAGATAAATCTTAGTAAATTGGTTTAAAATACCAACAGAGTGTAGCCATGTATTATCTTACTTAATCCTGACTTGCTTGTTGTTAAGATTTAGTTTCACCAATTCATGGTTGTGCTCTTGTATCGTACTTTTAAAATGTATGTTACTGGTAGGGTTAAACAAAAAATACAAGATTTGTTTTTCATTAAAGTGTTTTCATGATAGGAGAAATTCAGTGGATACATAAACAGAAATTATCATAAGGATAAATGTTTTGTAATGTATGAAATTAATTAATTTATGATATGAGATTGTTTTAAAAATAATTTTGATTTTTTTTCTGATATATATTTTGAAAATATAGTAAAATAATTTTATATATGGCTTTAAAAAACAAACATTTGACGGAGTTTACTTCGATTTCAGAAGGAGGAAGGTCTCCTCCATTGTTTTCATGCATGTGTATGTGTACAGTGGAACTGTAAATGGATCATTGTTAATAGATTCCTGAACAATGTTCACATGTACATATACTTGTATATTGGAACTGTCAACAGATTCTTGAACAGTGTTCTCATGCACGCATATGTGTATAGCAGATTTGTAAACAGATCTCTCAACAATGTTCCCATGGTATCTGTTTGTATGTGGACATTGTACTGTGTAACCTATGGCAAATGCTAACCTTCGTTATATACATATCCCTTCACAGGAGTTTTTGCCTTGGTTACATATATAATACACCTTGGGAGAATCTACAAGTTTTGTAGTGGTTATGTGTTACTTAGATCACATAACAATGTATTGTGACTATTCTATATCTTTCAACAGGGTAAAATGCTTTCACAGAAGTGTCTTAAAAATATCTGGGCTTCTCTGACATACATTGCTTTAGTTCTGCAGCTATATATTGATGTTAAATGTTTCAAAACAATGTTCTCATACACTTGTATCTATATATATTTATATAAAGTGGAATTGTAAATAGATCATGAAATGTTATAACATTCATCTTTGTGTATAGTGGAACTGTGAATAATTTTTCTACTTTTTTTAACTGTAGAAGTTATGACTAAGGAATCTGATCTTGTAGTCAGTTTAGTTGATGAATGTTTCTATTGTAGAAGTAATAAAATAATTTTATGATTTCAGGGGGTGCATTTTAATTTATTCAAGACACTGTTATTTACATGGAGTTCAAACTGTAAACGTTTGAAACTTGAAATTTTGTTGTTTTTGAACAATTATTTACTTATGTAAAGTTTAAACATGTATGTATAGAAATAAATATAAAACTTCAACTTAGGTATTAATGTTGTTTCGATTAAGATTAAAGTGCCATAGCTGCTTTCATCATTTTAGTAGTTTATATATGTACAAATTTTTGTTTTTTGTTTTTAACTAACAGGTTATCCCAAATTTTACACAAGGGGAAATGTTTCAGCCTTCATCCATAGAGGTAAAGCACAAAACTTTTGTATTCCTTTTGCCTTTTCTTCTTGCAAGCCAGAATAAGTTACTTTTGTTTTCTTGTACAGAGCACATCAATTTATCAGTGTTTATATGTACTTATCCTAGCTAAAATAATACTAATTGATACAAGTGCTTGTAAAAAATAAACAATAATTTATAGTAACAGTTCACTAAGAAGGTGAAATGTAGGTGAGCAAAGTTTAGGCTTGTTCAGACTAATAAAAGATTTAAAATTGTTGGATATTTAAGGATCTTCCATTTTGATTAGACATATATATATTAGCAGAAAAAAGAAACTGTGCATCACTTAAAATATGAAGAAAATCAAGAAAAAACGAACAAATATAATTTTAATTTTGCAGTATTGTTAAGAAATGCATTGGTTACAAAATTTCATTGTCAATTAATGTTAACGTCACCAAACGTAATTTTTAGGGCATTTGAAAGATGCTGGTATTCAAAAGGAAACTTACAGGGCTAATATCTTGTGTGTCCACCATTTGCATCCACACATGCTTGACAATGGCGCCTCAAAAAAAAAGCCTGTGGAATGTTATTCCAGATGTTGGTTAATGCCGTGACCATATCCACCAACGTTACTGGCTGATTTGGTAGACGACGTAAATGCCTTTCTATTTCATCGATCTTGGACATTTCCTGCTTGTTGGAACCGTTGCCATAAAGAGTGAATGGTGTTCTGATGGACTCCGAAACATCTTGCAACAACATTCTGTGCCACACCAGCCTGCAGCATTCCAACTGCATGAAGAAGTTCATCTTCACTGAGCCTTGTCATCACAGAAGGGTAATTCTCGGTGAAACAAAAATGATTTCCTGAATGACTGGAGCCTGAATAAACGTTTTACACCTGTTTATTCAGAAAACATTGTCAAAGAAAAATCGTGGGTACGAAATTTGAATAAACAAAAGGTGTTCATGAACCGTGAAAAATCTCATGCAACTGAGTCGAGTACTACCCGATATGTTGAACGACATATCCTTATTGATTTTTTATATGTCATAATACTAAACCTAATGTATATGAATTTTATTTCATTTTAAGTCCTGCACAGTTTCTTTTTTCCATTACTATATTAACCGTTACACTATGACATGCTGTAAGGGCTTTGGCATGGTATATGTTTTTATGTGGGCTTTGTAGTGTGTAGTCTGTGGCATATCCTAATTTTCTTTTTGTACATCCCTCCACAAAAGTATATATTGCTCCCTGGGAGAATCCACAAGTTTTGTAGTGGTTATGTGTTATTTAGATCACATAACAAAGTATCGTGACTATTCTATATCTTTCAGCAGGATCAAATACTTTCACAGAAGTTTTTGAAAAATATCTGGGCTTCTCTGACATACATTGCTTTAGTTCTGCAGCTATATATTGATGTTTATCTCAGGATTACACATGCTTTCGCTTATAAAAGATGATCTCCCTATCATCCAAGAAACATCAAAGCAGTGAATGTGAAAAAACTGTGTGTGGGACTATTGGCATTGGTTTGCCTGATCCTTTTTACCACACTTCTTTACCTTTCATCTCTACACCTCAAGCATGAGGCACTCCACCATGTCCTAGAGAATTTTGCAAATGATTCTTGTTCAGTTCACTTATCCATTGTTGCCATTCCACTTCTACCATTCCCTGTCCACTCTCCTCCTTTTTACTGGGAAATGTTGGATAGGGGTACTCTCCAATCCAAAGTTCAACTTATTTCTTCCCTTTTATGACCCCATCTGCCTAGCCCATTTGTTTGCTCTAAAGTTTGGAGGTATTCATGATTTGATTGAATCATGGGCTGAGGCTGCCTGTCATCAATCCTCGCTTTCGTACTTTGTTTCTTTTGATTCCCAACTTCCTCTTCCACCTGGCATCAGTCTCATTGAGCTTGTCTGTGATGTTTCCATCGGGTCGGGTCCCATGGGTACCTGACTGTCATGGTTTGAGCTCCTATGGTCAAATTGTTCTGTCCACACAGGGGTTTTTCTACTTTTTTACTCACAGACTTTCTCTCCAATTCCCCTCCCTTTTTCCTTTCAGCCCTCATTTTGTTTCTTTTTCTTCTTCCACTCCCATCTATCTCCAACTTCTCTTCAAGGCTTTTTTTATCACCAAATCCAACAATTTCTCACTCCCACTGAACATCTTATTCACTAGGGGGAGGGGTTCAACTAATTCTCAGCTGGGATCAGCCTTCTCCCATCTGCTTGAGAGCTATGGAACTTGCAGTCACTAGGGCTCATGTTGGTTTAGTGTTTGGGGCTTTATGGGGACTGGTTATCCCTTTGGGACACGCACATATGCACCTCCTGTTGGTCCTTGCATGACTAGAGGGATGCCTCTCTGGATTCTTTGACCTAATTGGTTCTCCTGTCCTTACCTCATCTCTAGTACTTGTATGAGTGGCTGGACCAACCCATTATCACCATCTGTGTTCCATTACATCCACCCAAACCATTCCTACTCCTCTTCACTTGTACTTCCTTCTCTAATGGGGGAGTCTTCCTGAATGTCAATTTTACATCTGGCTCATGGACCTTTGACAAGTCCTATCTCCATATCCATGGGCCCGAACTTCCAGTAGACTGTTGGACATGATCTCATTATTACCTCTTTTAGTGGATCATTTTGTTATGTTCCATTCTGACAACTCCTTGGCTTTTCCTAAATTAACACCATGGGGGAATCCAGAACCCTTTGCTTTCAAAATGTGGACCTTTCATCTTGGGTCAATTCACAATGATTTGGCTTCCTTGCCTGCCACATACCAGGTACTGTGAACTGGATTGAAGACCACCTCTTTCGGCTAGACCGTGTTCTGCCCACAGATTGTCCCCTCAGTTTTCACTGGGGGGTGCTCTCTTGGAGACTCCACTCATCATGGCCTTACCAGCCCTCTCTCTTTCATATCTGTTCTCCATCCCTTGGCCATGGATGTCACAACCTTCTGCCTGGTCTGCCTTGTACTTGTCATGATGCTCACCTGAAAGATAGATATCTCTTTACACACTTCCCACCCTCCTCTCTTCTTCCGATGCACTTTAGATATAGTTGACTCACAAGATAAAAATTCATGAGTGCAAAGCATAGAGACAGTTAGTGCACATGGAGGTTGTATCACCCTCCTATTGAAAATTTAGATTGAAATATTTTTTTGTGATTTTGGGGGCATATAATGCATACATAGATGGCACACCACTGTTAATATTTTCAGATATCTACATTTTTTTTTGTTTTTTCCAGTGTTGTAAACAATGAATTTGTAACTTTAAACTAGGGCTACATTATAAATCTTCTAACTTTAAATATGTTATATCACTTAATTTAGTATGAACAGAGAGAGATGAAGAGAGGAAGGTTTTTAGACTTTAGACATAAAGGGAAAAAACAGGCAGAAGTATTTACATATTAAGACACTTGAAAAGAGAAGTATCTAGTCAACCATTGTAGATCAGTGAAAAATTTTAATTCAGAAAATTATTTTCCTTTTTTGATGAGCATCTCAGGAACAATATTTACCTTAATAGACACAGTCTATTTTCAAAAATCAGCTTGCGTCACATTACCTTGAGTCATTGTAATTATTTTTCAGGAGGTACAGTGCTCATTGTTTCAAAATACAGGAGTCATGTAGAATGTTTGTTCTACCTGATGATTCAGGAGGTACAGTGCTCATTGTTTCAAAATACAGGAGTCATGTAGAATGTTTGTTCTACCTGATGATTTTTTTTATAAATGTAGTGTATTGTTTGAATGGAAGTGTATTTACAGATGGTAGATGGAGAAACATCCCCTCCAGCATTACTTACAGAAGCAGACTTAATTGCTTTAATGGAAAAACATGGAATAGGTAAGACAAAATAGCCATTAACACTTCTTTCAACATGTTTTTTCTAACCTTATGCAGTACTGTTATCAATGTTATGTATGTTTTTACCTAAACTGTTGTTCCTGTGGTGATAAATTTTGTTTTGGTTTTATTTTAGAAAGAGGTAATAAGATTAAATAATAATTGTTTGTGTGTGTTATATGAGAGAGGAAAGAAAGTTATTAGTTCATAGTGTCCAGTTAATTTAATATATATTAGCATGTGTTGACTAAAATAAGTATTTTGGATATTTAAATGACATGATAAATTCTGATTAAGAAGTTAGCACACAAGATCACATACAAAGTTGTAATGGTTTTTAAACGAGACCCAAACAAGTTGTGGGTCTCATTTAAATGACATGATATTCATTTGGTGAATGCTGTCAATTGGAAGTAAATAACTATAGAGATAATAAAATGAAATGACAACTGACCTCACATTACTATCATGAGTTCTGTATAACAAGGCAGGATACACATATCAATGTACTTACTTTCAGATCCAGATTATCAGTGACTACTTGGTCTGCAAATTGTTTGCTTCAGAATGATAATGAATTAGTATACTGAAGAGTAATAGTAGACATAGACATTAATGCCCAAAAGAGACATGAATACCTTTTTAGTTAAGTGCTAGTAATAAAGTAATTTTATCTGTACAGTATTTTTACTTGCTACTGACTCACATACTGTTAATTAACATATATTACTGTTTACTATCCTCTTTAAAAAAAAGAGAACTAAGTGTAACAATCTATTTTCATACAACTGTGAACTAAAATACTGACCGTAAGTTTGTGTTGATCAAATATCAGTTGTCATGTTTAATAGTCTATGTAATCATCTAAGTGTCTTAATTACTAGTTAGTTAATTAGTTTTTAGGTACTGGAGAGCAAAAGAATTATATAGAATAATCCATGTGATGTGAAATTCGGTACACTGGAGAAAAACAAAAGATGGATTTCAAGAACACAAGAGTCATACAGGAGTCTTTAATACATATCTGTTGGCATTACTTCTTTGTGTCAGAGATGATTATCATATAATTAATTGGAATAATACTAAAATAATTGGATATGCATCACATAAAAGAAGCTTTTTATGCCCAACTGAATGACAATATGTTCAGCCATTACAATACAGAAATAGCAAAATGTGATACCTCTTATGAAAACATCCAAATAGTTGAAGTCACAATAAAGTGAGTGAAAAGTATGTGTCTTTTATACAAATAGACTCAGGTTCGAATCCAGGCTTCTATTACTATATTCAATCTTTTCATGAAACTAGCCATAGATTAGAAACTGAAATATTGCAAAAAACTTGTGTAATCATATAGGCTACTGATTGTGACAGTTGGCTATGAACTTAATACAAATTAAAGCTTGTTTTAATATGACCTCTGGCTACTGATTATGACAGTTGGCTATGAACTTAATACAAATTAAAGCTTGTTTTAATATGACCTCTAGCTACTGATTGTGACAGTTGGCTATGAACTTAATACAAATTAAAGCTTGTTTTAATATGACCTCTGGCTACTGATTGTGACAGTTGGCTATGAACTTAATACAAATTAAAGCTTGTTTTAATATGACCTCTGGCTACTGATTGTGACAGTTGGCTATGAACTTAATACAAATTAAAGCTTGTTTTAATATGACCTCTGGCTACTGATTGTGACTGTTGGCTATGAACTTAATACAGATTAACGTTTGTTTTAATATGACCTCTTCTACGACAAGTTTTTGTTTATTTTAAAATTTTCCAAAATCTGTTGAAATAATATAATACAATTGTAAAGATTTGATTTTATATCATGAAACTTTGGTATGTTTCTGTGAAACATTTGTGGAACATGACAATCATTGAATGTAGTTTAGAGCAATATTGATTTATTTATTTTGAATACTCTTACTGTTAGAACTGGATGATTAATGTAATTTACTAACCATTTAAATGAACAGATTGATTTATCTTCAAGCTTATGTATAACATTTTGATTATTCTTACAAGACTAATCTTCCTATTATTACCATCTTGTTTTTTTTTAAAGATATCTTGAAACTACCCTTTGATTAATATGATAGACATCTTCAAGTACACCAATTTATTTTAGGATTAAGTTTCTTTTTTAATTGTAAACTTGTTTTAGATGAAAATATATGATGTAAGCAACATTACATTAAATCTATTATAAGCTGAAAATATGATCGACACCATTCCTTTGGCTAATCCCGACAATTTTTTACAAGACCACAATAAAACTACTGAATCTTTGTTGATGAAAATAAATATTACCTTGTGACATTGAGTGTAAGTCAGAAAAATACTAAAAATAACAATTTCAGATTTTATTGGACATTACCAAATTAAAGAAAATAGTATCTTATTGTTACAGACTGGAATAAACTAATTTGTCATTAAACGTAATTATCCTTATATTCATGTAATAAAACTAGTAAACATGTTTTCACAAAGTGTGATAGATATTACATAATTCAATGAAAACAAACTAACTACAATCCTAGAAAAACAAAGACATTTATTATATGGCAAGAATACTTGTGATGATATTGGATGACTTCTTGCTGAGGTTAAAATGATTCATAAGATGAAATCAAAGTTTTAAAAGAAATATCATAAACATGGAAATGCAAAAAATCTTTAATTATCAACATTTTGGAGTCTTTTTCTTCTAATTCTATTATCAGCATGAAAAACTTAAAAAATAATTAACGTTATAAGCATAAAAACATCATAATATGTTAAGTGGAGATGTTGATACTGATGAAGTTTTATAAAAACACTTTAAAATGATTAATACACTTACAAGCTGGAAGAAATGGTAGAAATGTGTGTGTGCTGAGAAATCAATAAGTTAACCTGCTTATTGTACTAGGCCGTGTTTATGAGACGTGACGACAGCCAGACTTTTTTCCTTTTTTTCAGTGCTTCTTATCTAGGTAGAGCTAGTCATAATTAAATGGGAATCTTGTTTATGTAAATAGTGCATGAGCGCATTGTCCTACAAGATTTTATGTTTGGCATGCAATTTCATTATTTTATTTTTGACTTTAGAAAATTACTATTTAAAGTGAAGTGTGTGTCTGGGAAAAAATACACAGTCGTACATCTATCATTTCATATATGTTCCTTATACATTTCCACATTTCCTCATCAGTTGGCACTAAACTTGACACAGTGATATAGGATGACATCAGGAAGGTTATGAAGGGGTTGGGGGTTGGACCCCCCATCTTCTATATAAATGAACTACAATATGTGTATGTATGTGTTCCTTATATGTTCGCCCCCCCCCCCCATCTATTGGTACCTTTATGTATTTTTATTGCACTTTTAATGCTTATTATGCTAAGAAAAATAATAGAAGCACAATTTCCTATCCTTTCCAATTTCCAGTAAGCAACAATAAAAAGTAATTTGCTTGAGATACAATATTTCTACCTAGATGGTAAGGTGCAAAGAATAACGTTCCTTCATAGATTGAAATTAGTATCTTAAAATTGCATATTTACTCAATGAAATATTTTTAAAAAAGTGTTTTAACTCATGTAATATATTTGTTCCTAGTTGACAGTTACGTTTTAAAAACATACTTCTTAATTTCTTTGCATTATTTTCTTCTTGTGGTAAAATAACAACATTTTATTTACCAGGTACAGATGCTACACATGCTGAACATATTGAAACCATCAAGTCCAGGTTCTATGTGGGTTTAAATCCAGAGGGTAGGTTTATTCCTGGAGAGCTTGGCATGGGATTAGTGGAAGGTGGGTGTATACCAAACTGTTAGTTTGTATATATATGGAAAGCATAATATACAATAGTATTCAGAATTTGTTTGTTCATACTACAAAAATTCATGTTATACTTTTTTTTTGCATAACTATGTTAAAAGGTTTTAGTGCAAAAGTAATAAATTATCAAAATTAACATGTTTAAATTTCAATGTTAGTGGAATTGTGTAATTTTTCATGGTATTCACCAGTTACAGTATTGCATCATACATTCCATTTTAAACAGTGCATTTGTGGAGGATGCAAAGTAATTGGTATATTTGAATCTTATTAACAAAATATTACTTGTGAAATCACAGAACATGTATTGGATCAAGGTATTTAAAATATTAATTCTAAAAAATACATTAAAGTTTTGATAAACTCTGTAAGTTAGATAATGTATGTATCACTTCAAAATACAAACACAGCTGATAATTTAATCAGGTACACAACCTTGGCTCTTAAATTTAGGCATAAAGTTGCCTGAGAAATGCTAAACTGTCGAACAAGCCTTGAACGTTTTTGAGAAAATTACAAATCTTTCACAGAGTAAAATTTAAGATTCCACAATCATTGCAGCAACCATATATACATATGAAATATTTATGTAAAGCTTTCAAAATTTTGTTAATTCATTGCATTTATAGGTTGTTTCATATTTGCATGATGCCAAAACTCGTAGTGGAATCTCAAAATGTTTGTTTAGTGTAATAATTTATTTGAATATTACAAAAATATTTATTTCTAACAGTTAGTGTAATAATTATATGAAAATTAATAAAATATTATACAAATGTTAAGCTTTAGGTAACCATGTAGTCATTGTTGGATTTATATAGTTCACTTGAAATCTGTGATCTTGTATATTTTTTGTTTATTACATTGTAAATGATGAAGATTTTCTAACAGAAATATATTTTTATCATAAAGGTTATGATTTAATGGGATTTGAAATGTCCAAGCCACATTTGAGAGCTGAATTTGAAGCAGATTTGAAAAGGTGACATCAAATGTAATTTTGACATAGTAGTTAGAATTAAAACTTGTATCTCATTCAAGAAGTGGATTGTTAATATTTTAATTTTCATTTCATGATTTTAACCTGGTGAAGTGTAATTTTTAAAGATAAAATGTACATGTAAACTCTTATAATAGTCTTAATCTCTCATCAGTCATAAAGGATTTTCTTTTTTTTTGTGTGTGGTACTGCATTTGAGATCTTTTCTCTCTCTCTTTCTGTTTTGGCAAGCTTCTAGTAGTATTAGAAATAGTTGTATAATAGTATACATAATTATTAAAGGAATAAATGACAGAAATATTTCAAGAAAATTTTTAGACTTCAATTTCAAATTTTTTAAATTTCAGAATCTGTGAAGGAACGAGAAACCCACAAGGTAAAACAATTGACAAGAACGTTTTTCATGTTGAAATGATTTATAAATGTATGTAAATTGTAAAGTTTAGGCATACATAAAGATGGAAACAGTGTCTATCATAAAACTGGAGCTGTATTGTTTCACGTTAAGTACAAGCTGAATGCCTGTCATATAACGGGAAATAGTGATTAATATTTCATCTCTAAAGATTAATTATATTCTCGTAACAATATATATGTATGGATAATGACTATCCTATTTCCAGTATATCACAAAAACGACATTTTTTATGTATATTTGGTTATCTCTTTAATGTATTACTTAATTATCATTTTGACTTCATATAATTTTAACTATTTTCTTGATAAATTTTCTATCTTCTTGATAAATCCTTGTAGTTTGAAACTTGTAAAAAAATTTATTCTCAAAGACATATTTCTACTTGGTCAACTGTATGACCCTGCAAATTATTAATTATGATGGTGAAGACAGTGAATTGAATTTTATTATGAATTTCAGGGTCTTTTCTTTGGACTGTTTTCCTGGTTTTGTTTTGTAAGCCTGCTGAGTTGAAGAAGCATGCTTTAATTTTGGTATTTTCGAAATTTAAATGTGGTGCAGGTAAAACATATGGGTTATTATAGAGTTGTACCCAAGGGTTCCAACTGGAGAAAATTTGGTGATGTTGCATCAGTGTGTCTCCTTGACAACCAAGCAAACATAATGGAGAATTTCAGCCAATGATTATGATTTTTGTACCACAGCAATACCAAGCACGAGGCATGCGTATACCTAATTGGATTTTATTACTGAACATGATCTCTACCCACCTATCCTTAAATCTAATTATATGCCTAAAGTAGCACATCATCTGTTTTATATGTACGTATTATTGGCTGGAAGAATTTTAAAAAGACAAACTTGCTTGTTGTGGCAGAAAGCACAGTCGTTTCATGCAAGTTGCATGTCAAATGGTACTGCAACAGCTGAGGTTACGACATGATGGATGAACAGACTGAGAACTTTTTGTCTTTATATAGTAGACTATTAGAAGATTAGTATATGCATATATCTATGAGGTGTAGCTTTATTTATTTACTGAAAATTTTGGTATGTTTTAGATAAATTAGGGAAAGTAAAACTGTTAAAGTTACATTGTTGGCTGTAAAATTCTTATTTTGTTGTTATTATATTGCATATCTTTGTATACAACATATACTAATGTAGTTTACTATATTGATACTGATTTTTAGGATGTTGTAGAAAAAAAAAACCTGTTTTAGAAAATATACGATTTGATGATTTTTAATCTAATTATTTTGACCAAAGGTGCTGGGAACACAATTTGTTCTAGCATGTAAAACTTGTGCATTCCCATGTTTTAATAGCATTGATGCATGTACACTGTAAAATTTTCACTTTAATATTTTCTCTATAGTGGTGTTGCAAGAACAGATTCAGAAGTACAGAGCAGTTTTTGTGGAAGCTATGGACAAGGTGAGGTTGTCTGTTACAATGAATTGTTTGGTAATTTTAAGGTTAAAGGTTTATATTTTAGAAATGTGAAAATTTCATTTTGCCAGTGTGTGTGTGTGTGTGTGTCTTTCTACAATAAAATAGTCTTCTGATAGCAGTGGATGGAAATTTTTGATGTGAATATTTGGATCCGAATCAAATATGTTTTAAGTTTCTCTGACACAGTCATTTAATTTGTTGTTGTCTATGCCAACATGTTGTGGCTTACTTGTAAATGTAAACTTAAAATTTTGTTTTCAATAATTTTTGCATTCAAGTTTTTGCTGCATGTCTCATTCTTACAAATAAACAAAAACATTACCCTAATTTCAATTTTGATTACATTAAAATATATATTTTGGTTCATAGAAGGGAATTTTCCATGGATCTGAAAGTTTCTGCCTTATTTTGTTACCTTGAAGCTCATTTTGGAGACTTTGCAAATCCAATTAGAAAATTTTAATGGGTTGGGAAGTTAGTGGGTGGGATGGAGATACTGATGAAATGTTTCTGCAGAAAGCCCACCTTAGACATGCAAACATGTCTTGTGTTAGCTAGCAAAGTATACGATCACTGACTTTATTGGTTACTAGATTGACTTGAGTGCTAAAAATAACATTCATGGCTTGACATAATATCGTTAATATAACCTTCATGGTCCTATCATTGTATCTTTGTATGGAATGACTAGCCAATAGAAGATCAACTAGGATCTTCTAATCACATTCAACTGCTTTTTTGCTTTTGTAATTTTGAATATATTTGGAATTCTTGAAAAAGCACAAGAATTAGATTCTAAAAATGAGCTGTAGTTTTCTTGGTTTGAACAAATTATAATGGTGTTAATTGCAAGTGCATGAGCTTGAGCATGGTGTAATAGTCTTACCCACTTATTTTGTGATTTGACTGAATTAAATTTCACTTGTAGTTAGAAAGTTGTTTTATTTAATGTAAGTCTGGGCTGAAATATTTAGGCCATCAATTGTAATAAAGCATGGATTAGTATATAGGGACATAGGCGTAAGCCAACTTTCAGCCATCTTATGATCTATCGGTAAACAACTACTCAAAATAATGCATAGATTTTGTGAAAAATGCAGTTATGAGACAAAAATATATTATCTGTGTACTGTACTTCAATAATTGTCAAGTTATTTAAATTGCTGGTTGAAAAATTGCATAAATTGTTGTGATCTTTAAAGAATGTACATAGCATAGATTACTTTTGTGTGAAAAATTGAACAATTAATTAAAATTATGAAATTCTGACAAAATTACTTTAAAGTCATAATTGATAATTAACACAAATAAAAAAACAAATGTATCTAAAGCATGGCAAAGTTTAGAAATATAAAGAAATAATTTTAACCATTTCTTTGTATTTTTAAAAGATTTGCAACATATATATATATTAACTAATCTGCAGTGCATCTCTTTTTTAGCATATGACTTTTATAATAATTACTTTATACTAGCAGAAATACTGCCCTGCAGGTGGCTGTTTGTGCTAGTAGTTATTGATCTCATTGATAAAAATTTAGAAAAAGGGAACATTTTTTAAAAACAGATTTTTTTCTGGGAGTTACTGCACAGGAAAAGTGTTCGGATTGTGTTCTTTAGTCATACACAACATATTACATCGAAATGATTCAATGTACAGAGTACAAAAGTTTTATAAGTTTGACTGATATAAATTGTAATGTTTTTGTATATTAAAAGTGATACCATTTATTGAAAAGTAATTGTTTTTTACAAACTCCAGTTTTTCAGTACTACATTTAAAAATTATATCCAACACTCATGTACAGTCCTAGTGAAAGTTGTGTTCTTGTTGTGAGGAGTGTACATCTATTTTAAATTGTGTTCTTTTATAAAGAAATGGTTGTTGCACATACCACAGTTATTCTTCTAATTGTCTGAACCTTGAATACCCAAAGTGTGGAACTTTTTATGGATTTTTGTTTGTGGTGACATTCAATAGATGGTGTGGGAGCTTTGGTTACATACATAGATACTGACATATACACTTCATCCATTATAGTAAGATTATTATTGTTTTAACTAGGCAAACAGGTTGGATGAGGCATTAGCTCAGTATATTGGAGAAGCCCAAGAGTTTGTTCCTGATCGTAAGTATCAAAGGCTCATCACCATTTTTATCTAACAATTTTTAGTTTTCTCTTTCTGTTGGTTTGATTTTTCATTTCCTAATCAGGTTATTCCCATGAAAATTGGTGTTTGACTGTCCAGTGTTGACATTAGGAAATAGAGCTATATGAGTATTAGCTACTAATGTCACTCAAACCCATTTTATATGTTATTAAAACTATCTAATTATTACAAAACCATGTAATGTGTTCAATACTGAATATTAATCCTCTCGTTACGGGTAGGTCAGAGTGTGCATGTCACGACCTTTTATGGAGTTACACTCAAAATTTAATTAAAATACTTTATTATCAATGTATATGAATAAACTTGGCATCAAAATATAAGTAACAAATCAAATTTCAATGTTATATATATGTTTTAAGTTCTTAATTTTATAAGAAATTATTTATGCCCTCAATCTTCCCTGGTATGAGAATTATGACATCTGTTCTCTAGGCCTATCCTTTTCTTTAATTCATTAACCACCATTACTTGAAGTATGAATTTTAATGTAAATCACTCATTATAATATAGATATTACTAAAGCAAAGTCTAATTGTTTAGCCTTTAATGTTATTTGTATACACTCTTAAACTAGAAAATCAGACCCACTTGCCTCACCCACCTGTCACTACCTCTTTTAAAAATTGCCAATAATTCTTACTGATGTTTTATGTTATATCATTTATAACCTATAGAAAGGCAAAGTTTTAACCATGTTGAAAGTTTATTTCGTGTTGTTCAGATTGACAAGCAAAGGAAATTAATTTAAGCCCCTTTTATCTTAGATAGAAAGTCAGTTAAATTATAATAGTTATAGGACATTGTTTGCTTTGTGCATGTTATTATTTTGTGTTCTTAGATGTCTTATTTAAGTAAATAAAAATCCTTAAATTTTATTGGCAACTGAGAGCAAAAAAAAAGAGGCTAAAGTTAGGTACTATTTTTCTTCTTTTTCATCTATATTCTTTATTTATGGTTTTAAAACCTGTTAGATTAGGTAAGATAATGAAAAAAAAAATTCTTCTCGTGAACAGCTTGTGTTTTATGACATTCTGTCAGATGTTAAGTTGTGTTTGCCAATTGTCTATTAAAGGCTTGTACTTCTTAATCTAATAAATATATACCATGTTGTTGTTGGGCTTAATTTTCTTCTACAGTAGGTGTCTGTGACTTGTTTGTGATAAATTCAATGATAAATGAACAGCATGCACTCCACTTGTTTTCAAAATAATATATATATATATATATATATATTCTGAACAAGTTAAATGTATGTACAACAAATTTTTTACACTATAGATATTATA